CCCCTTTGCCGAATTATAAACCAACTATGAACATCTACATTATTCGTAAAGCTGTACAGTTCCTCCAGCTGCACCCAGGCTGATGATCTAAGACCTAACTTCAGTAGAACCTCTCTGACAACGTGAGCTTGGCTCATTCTGAAGATATTCAAGCAACCCAAAACAGCACTTCGAGCGCTGCAGGTGCCTTTTAGCCTCCATCTGAGCCTCCATCCATGAAGACTTTCCCAAAAATAGATTTGAGTAAATATTGATTGAACTGATGACACCAATACAGACCAATCTGGAAGGAGCGTGTCCCATTTCATCTGGAGTAAAGCTGACATTAAAACCCACCAGCAGCCATGGAGGTGGTAGTGTCATGGTCTGGAGCTTGTCTGGGAATTCTGCTCTCTAACAGAACATCCTGAAGAAGAAGGTTTGACCTTAAACAATCTATCAGCCTTTATTTATACAGCACCTTGGTGGCATGAGCATGCCACCAAGGTGCTGTACAACAGAAGAATAAAACAATAAAACATACAGCGCCACAGACATCATTAAAACCACAAATAAGAATTACAAAATATGAAACATTAACAACTGCTAACACACAGAATTAAAAGCCAGATCGTAAAAGTAGGTTTTCAGCCTCATTTTAAAAACCGCTACCGATGGAGAGTCCCTAATGGTTAAGGGCAGGGCGCTCCACAGTTTCGGACCCGCAACAGAGAACGCCCTGTCCCCTCTCAACTTCAACCTGGCCTTAGGAGCTACAAGCAGCAGCTGGTTCTCAGAGCGGAGTGACCGGGCCGGAGCATACAGCTGCAAACCATTCAGCGCCTTAAACACCATTAAAATAAGTTTATAACGAATTTTAAATTCAACAGGTAACCAGTGGAGAGCAGCCAGCATTGGTGTCACGTGTTCATGCTTCCTTTTGTTGTCCAAGAATCTTGCTGCAGCATTCTGGACAAGCTGCAGCCGGGTTACAGCACCCTTACTTACACCAAATAAACCGGAATTACAACAGTCGAGTCGTGAGGTAATAAAAGCAAGTTTTATCAGAAGGAACCTGTCACACCAAACTGCTAAACTGTAAATGCATGCACTGATCTTTCCCCACTTATCATATTGCATTACATCATGGTCACAGGCTTCATCCACCACTCTAAAACCTATAGTCTTAATACACAAGCAAGCAATAAAAATTATGGACCAGAAACCATTGAAATGGCATCATTGTCGCATTTTAAGGAAACATAATCTTCTCACTTTTGAAAATTTTATTAATTTTAGCACTCTAAGATTCTTTTTCAATGGTCTAAATGATCAATTGTCTAAACTGTTCTCTATTGTGGCCGTCAGACGTCGGAGCTCTCATAGAACGATCACTCGAGCCTCCACCTGCGGCGATTGTCTCGTCCCGCGGTGCAAGACCTCTTCTGGTCAGTCTGCTCTTTCTGTAAAGGGGGCCAAACTGTGGAACGGTCTACCTGCTGACCTAAAACTACAAACGGACAGTAAAGTTTTTAACAAAGAACTCAAAACATGGTTAAAGTCTAGACAACAATGTCTACATGAATAGTTTTAAAGTCTTACATTGCTGCTCAAATTGCCGTGTTTTATTCTTTTTATTCTTTTTTCTTGAAAATTGTTTGCAATTTTAATCTGTTTTCTGTTTGATTTATTGTTGATCTTGTATTTTGTATTTTATTTAAATGTACTCTACCGTTTAGAAAGGTTCTATGGACAAGTGTTGCAAATTAGCACGTGTGCTAACACACTAAACAATGCATCTGGTTCGTTCAATGTAACTGCTGTGTCCATGTCAAATAAACATCACTACTACTACAGTCTCAAGGTCACGTCTAGATAAAAACGGCTTTACTTTAGCCAAACGTCTTAAATGATAACATGAAGAGGATACTACAGTACCCACATGAGCATCCACGCAGAATGCACTGTCCACCTTCACGCCAAGGCTGACTGCTGAAGCATCCAAACAGGAGTTCAGTTCACCGCAGCCTACGTTTGAAAAATCAACATGTCCGCTCGGACCAAACAGCAGTGCCTCTGTTTTTCCCATTGAGACACAAAAAGTTTTCTGCCAACCATATCTTCATTTCTGCCAGACAATCCCAAAAAAAATTTTTATCGAGTGATCACCGGCGCCATCTAGAGGTGAGTACAATTGGCAGTCGTCGGCATAGAGATGGAATCCAATTCCAAACTTTCGTAAAATGTCACCCAATGGGAAACAGCAAGGGTCCCAGTATTGAACCCTGCGGTATCCCCCATGGCAGATGTGAGAATCCCAATGAGAAGCCACCCATCCTCACACAAACCATCCTATCATGTAAATATGATCTAAACCCAGGGTCACTTCTGTTGGCTCAAAGGAAACCGAGTCCACCAGTCCCACGGGATCACCCGACCAGGACCATTTTGATGGTCGGGTGTCACCAACATGACAGCATGGATCCACCCTGCCTTGTAACAGTACTTCAGACTGCTGGCCCACTGTTGGCCCCTCAGAACCACCTGACCCTGGCTTAACACCACAGCCTACTTGAGTATTGTTGCTGACCACGCCCAGCCCTTCGTGACCACAGTGGACCATCTTCTGATGGCTGCTGCAGAAATTTTTCATATAATCTACAAAAACGTGTCGAGCCTGACACACTTACGATGGCGAGCAGCTACAGCGACAGGCTGCTAAACAACTTCGTAACGCAAATTTCAGTTTGAGCATTATTGTTATTTAAATACGAAGCATATCTGCCGTCTGTGAACACCAGTGACACTTAACATTTAAAGGTGCAATATGTAAGAAGATAATGAGAATTTTACAGTGAGAAAATCCCAAAAGGGTCTCATGTTTCAACCATGTTGGAAGCAAGGTTCTGCTGAAACATGTTTCATGTCCAGCTGGCTGCTGGGATGTCAGTTTTTCTCCTTTCAAAACAAAGGAAGGAGCGACGTAACGACTGTTTACCGTCAGCGAGTGTGGGGGCGTCGAGTCTCCTGTGAGCTAATGCTGCAGCACCGACATTTGTCATTGGGCAAAAAGCTCCAGAGTTGTTTAAAGTGGTTGCAGTAACCACGTTTTACCACATGATGTCATTTTTACATCATTCCTACATGATGCACCTTTAAGGAACACACTCGTTTAAACCTACTCAACCATAAACGCTTCTTGCTACTGTAAACACGTAGCATTAGCGTTCATCTGAGGGGATCCTCTCTCTCTTTCTGCCAGGGGTGATTGGCAAAGAGCCAGGAAAGCACCCCAGAAAAAGGACGCTTCGGAAGCAATCAGCATGCACTTAAACCTTCGTTTGGCCCACACACGGAGCACTTAACAACACGAAGACCGACCTGTGCGAACACTTTGCCCAGCTGACAGCCCTCCGGAGACGGAGCTGGGAGTAAAGTGCTGAGGGACAGCACACTAAGCCTCTGGTCACGAAGTTTACTTAAGATTCTTTTGGAGCTGAAATGCGTCAAGGCTCCTCGGGAGCTTCCCCTCACAGACGGCGTTGAGCGGATCTCTAATGGAGCTTCTAATGAAACGAGAGGCAGCTTGGACCACTTTGTCTCCGTGTGAAGACTCACCTCTCAGTCTAATCGCCTCAAGTCTTATTGATTACCCGAGGCCTGCCACTGTTTCCATGACTTCCCATCATGCTGTGTAATCCCCGCTCAGAGCTCACAGACCCACTCGTACGCTGCTTTCTTTTGCGATTAGCACTATTGATCAGATTCCACCCAGGCGTGTTTGTTTGTGTTGGGTCACCTCACCAACACGACTCTCATGTTGGACAGAAAAGAAGGAACAAGCCCGGCGGTTGCATCCTTCCCTCGTCCGTTTAACAGAAGCCTTGTTTCCTTCGTAACAGCAGCTCGTCTACGCCTACACACACCGGTTTCAGCAGGCAGCACTGAACCTGAGCTCCCATCACCCCCCCGACAAGCCCGCGAGTGTGTTTAAGCAGCAGCTTGATCCCTGGCACCTCTTACCAGACATCCCACTGTCACAACACACACTTTTACCGCCAATCACTCCCTTTCCCTCGTCTCTCTGGCGCTCCCTGAGGGGGATTACCATGACTTAATTCCCAGGCAATTAAATGCTGTCGTGCTGTCTGGTCTCTGCTGCTCGGTGCGCCTGTGAAGGCGATGAGACGGCAGATTCTCCCCAGACGGTGGCAGAGAGGACTGGAGCAGAGAGTTTAAAAAGTCACTTCGTATGATCTCTCTCGCGTCTCCTCATCGATTGAAAGAGCTCTGGATCTCGGTGGCAGCAGCCCGCTCGCATCCCCGCTCAAGTCATCTCCTGCACCTCGTGGCTCTTACTTGAACCTGCTCGCTGACGTTCTCGGAGTTTCCGTGGTTGCCTGAGGACTGCGTGCGTGCGATTCGGGTTGCAGAGGTACATGAAGCCAGACGGGAGTGAGAGCGAGCTCAGGAGAAACGCCGTTACTGGAGCAGGATCACATGGGCTCGGCTAGGTGCACCTGAAGCGATGAGTCACTGTAAGGGTTGGAAAACTAGGAAAAAGGAAAACCTCGTGCTCTGGGATGGTGCCAGACCATTCTGACCACCTAGCAGATGTTTGTGAACATCCTTGATTGACCTCAGGTGCATTGGTGAACCTAGCTCCCCCTCCTCCCCCTCCCCCTCTTCTGCAGCAGCAACGGGAAACGCCTGATCCTGGTTAGAATTCCACACTTAGGATGGATTTCCCATCTACAGCCGCAGATTTAGTTTAAGTGAAAGCATTTGAATCAGAACACCAAGGCCGTTGTTCCTCCTGCTTCATTCATGGCTGGAATTTGACCTCTCACCTTAGGTGAAACATCTCACCTGAAGCATCTTTGGGAACCAGATCTAGTTCAAGCCCCCAAGACAGCGACGAGCCAGACTACAACCAGAGCCCCGACCTGGAGCTTCACCCATCACCCCTCATGTATGGTAGAAGACCCGCTGTAGACGTAAAAACAAATGCATCTCCATACCTTTCTCTTGTTGGTCGGGCAGATGTAGAAGCTAGTCACAACGATGGTTGTCCCTGGCACCAAGTTGAGCTTGGTGTAGGTCGTGCCGTAGTCGCTGGAC